TTTTATCCATCGCTCATATTACATATCAGAGTGCACTGCTTGGGTGCTGGCGGGGGTCTTCTTTGAGATGCCGCTGTAAGGTCAATATTTGGCGTTAGAGGGCAAGTCCGGGTGTAACTCATATCTGCGCATCCAGGCGCGTCGAATGGTACCATGGGCGCGACCCTTCGCCGCATACCCAGTTTGCGTTGGCGATTTCAAAATCAGCGTCAGTAGTTTGCTTGCGCAGGGCTGTAAAAACAACCTTGAACGGACTTCCATTTCCGCCAATCAGATATGCATGTGTCGGACATATGGTCGGACATGTGGCAAGTCTTTGTGATGGCCAATTGAATGCATACTTGACATACAGTCGGCCACATAATCTCGTCTCTCTTCACAGATATTGGCCTGTGTACGCGTACATAGTGGCGCTATGTCCTGTCTCTGGAGAATTATCGACATATGGTTAAATTCCCCGTATGCGAAAGCCTAATCTCCCCAAGTTTCATACCTGGACGTGCTTTTATGTAAAAGTTAGCACGTAAAACCTAAACTACCATTTCTACAATCCCAAAAATAAGCTACTTTGGGCACACGGGACCTTAGGTACGTGGATCTGGGACCTTAGATGCCCAACATTGTGCACTTCCGGGACCTTAAAGGGCCTTGAGATGCACGTGCATCCGGGTCACAATATATATAGGATGAACGTTAATCCGGGTCATAATATACATAGCCGTCGGCGAGTTGGCGAATCGCAGCAGTACATTTCTGAAGTGCCGAGGGCCCCCACTTTCCTGTTGCATCTCGTCTTTGTTGAAAATAGCGATCGTATTCCTCAACAGCTCTGACAATACGCATATACAGTGGTGGTCGTATTCGAAACCTCCGGCGAAATATGTGTGAATTGCACACCGCATTCTCAGCAAAGTAATCTTGCATAAGACGGCGATAACCTTCGTCGGATCCTTGTGTGACATTAGGACTTTGCCCTGATATTGAGCCCCGCCCAGGTGACGCGTAGAAAAGCGCGGCGCTAGCCACTAAAACAGCAAGCTATCTTCTTCGTCGTCGAACAGGCGAAAGAGCTTGAGCGCGGAGCTCTCGGTGTCCATAGTTGTGATTCTTGGGGGAGGAGATTTAGTTTTACTCATTTGTGACTGCACCTCCGGTGAAGCGAGGTACCGTCTTTGTATACGAAGTTATCCTACAAGATGGTTTTGCGAGTACTTTGCGTTTAGTTTTACTCCCAACCGGTGGAGA